CAAGGCAATGATCGCAATGCAACGCGAAGACGCCGAGAACTTGCGAAGAAAGAAATTAGAACAGGCCAAGGTGAGGGAAGAACTTCGTTTGGCCAACGAGAATATCGCTCAGTTCCGAATTTTACAAAAAGAAGAAGAACGCATAGCCACCTTACGAGTGCAGGAGTTCATGCGTAAAAAAGCGGAGCGCGAAGCGGCGCGTGACGCCGAGTTAGCCGAAATTCAAGCGGAGAAGAATCGCGAATTGTCACGATTGCAAGCGGCACAGCAAAAGGCGATGGACGAGCAGTCCGCCAAAGATGAACTGAACGCGCTGCGCACGCAGGAGGAAGTCGAACGCGAATGGAGGGAAAAAGAAAGAAAAGCTGCCGCCAAGCGGAAAGAGCAATTGGAGAATTTGAGGATCGGCAGGGAGCGCCAGGTCGAAGATATTCGCAGAACTCAAGCTTTAGAAATCCAAAAAGATCGAGAGGAGTTCTCAAAAATCGTTAGGGTGCAAAAGGAATTGTACGAAAAGGATTTGGAGAAACGGCGACGCATTAAAGAGGCCGCGATGCACCATCGCAAGGATTTGCTTAAGCAGGTGAACGAAAAGGAGTGCGAACGAATTGAACAGCTGAAGGAGAAGTTTAAGGAGGGCAAGGCTTTGCTGCTCGAAAAGGAAGTGCGCGAGTTAAATATACGCGGTGTAATTGAAAAGAAAATTAAGCGGATGAGAGACAATAACGTTCCAGAAGGAGTTGTTAGAGACATTGAGCGCCAGCTCAAATTAGGATAAGATGATATTGTTTATTTTTTATTTATTGTATAAACTGTGAAAAATATACCTTATATTGTTATTATCTGTTCCTACAGGTTTGCAAAACATGTGCATGCAGACCACCATTGCGTATTCTTGACTCTGTCGTTGGTCCATCAAACTAGCTATGTGTTTCACTTTAGATAGAAATCTAGTTTAACAGAAATGTGTCATAGGTAAGTATCCAAGAGGACGACACAGGAAGAACAAATTTTAATTCGGTTCGAAGAACCATCAATTTATTTACAGTTAATGAGATTCATCGGAGAAATGAAAAAATTCAGCGCAATGGTAGGTATCTATGGTATTACGTTGGTGAATCTTCGTTTAACTTCAAGTAACAAATTTACATACATTCCGCGTCTCAGTAACAGGAATCAAAATTTGAATTCGTCAGGTGCCGTATTCTGAGAACAAAAATCAAAACTTCCGCCAAAACTAACTGAAAACCATGGCACATAATCGTCAAATAACGCTTGTCTAGTGATAGGACCCACGTTGTGTTGTGAAACCAGTTGCTCGAGGATGTGTGTTTGTCACTCTAAGGATCGGCCAATTCATAAATAAAACGCCAGAAATGGGAAGAGTGAACTTTAATTAAAAACGTTAGGTAATAAGAAAAACAATAAAATTTAAATTCAAATTCCGAGACGCCCTCTCTTAACCACATGAAAGTAGCTCTAGGGACTTTATTAATTACAAGGGCGGAAAAAGAGCTATTGAAAACCCTCACTTACTTTTTCACCTCTTTTTCAATTTGCATTTTACAGTTTTACATTATAATAAATAGTTTTTTATTATACCTGAATCACAATCTCCGTTTTAAACACTCAAATGCGTGGGAAAAAGGGCCTTTAAAACACACGTGCTTTAAAGTTGCTAAGTAACGATACTTCAAGTATGACTTTTGAAACTGTCATCTGGATGAAATAAAAAATCCTCTTAGGTCGCTTTCTGTAAATGCAGAACATTTCTTTGGCTTTTGTACCTATCCTTTGGTTGAAGCTTTCACAAACCCGCGTAATTTAGGGTATACTTCCAAATCTGTTCCACTTTTTAATCGCAGCATTGCTTTAAAGTGTTGAATGAATGCACCAAAATATAGAAGATTTAAATACCTTTGACATTTCCTTCATATATGCCAGCATTATGGATGCATTTAAGACTGTATTCGTAAGTAACTTCCTATTCATCCATGGAAACAACTTTTCATATTCTTTATAATAGGCTTTACTGGAGTTGGATTTTACACCTACCAACGTTTGTTTAGATTTTACAACAATCGATTTAATGGACGGTGTATTATCTTTTTCAACGGAAATCGTTTAATTCACAAAGACGATGATTTTTATAAGAAAACGTCAAGTGACATTTCCATGGAAATCGTGAAGTTACGAACACCCAGCCCACTTAATTAGGCATGTATTCGAGTATAACGTCAATATGACTTCATTGTATTTCCTATTTTTAAATTATACTGCAGGTATAATAAAAAATACTATAAGATACACGTGTATAATTGGTCTTTAAAGCACTTGCAACGTTAAAGGCACTCCGCTTTGCGTCGTGCCCTTAAACTCGTTGCGCGTGCTTTAAAGACTTGATTATACACTTGTATCTTAATATACTATTTAACCCGTACGACAAGATCGGGAAATGGTATCTCCCTCATAATCGTGACTTTAGACAGATATTTAAAATATTGTGCCATTGTTATGTAATGGAGACCGAAATTCACACCAAGGGCTCACGGTACAAATATCAAGCGCCTCCCATTTTGGCCAGGACGTAACCTGTCTGATGGTAATAATATATAGGGGTATATGTTCAGGATTTGTGTTCAGGTGTCTGCCTTTAGCTAGAACATGACCTGTCTAATTGTAATAAAGAGTTAGAAGTTTCGAGATCCATTACATAAAAAATTTCAGAAAAAAAATTTCAAATAGTCAGAATGAGTCATGAAAAAGTATCACATTTGGAATTTGTGCAAAATAAGATTGTGGAAAAATACGACTGCGAAATTTAACAAAGCCACCTTCCTGGGAGTTGTTAAAATATAAAATACATGTGTAAAATGACATAGCACTCTACCTACGCTACGTACACCGCATCTCCCAGATACTCTAAACGAAATTATCTAAACACTCTGTATATTAATCTCAAATGAAAGGTCCTCACACATATGGAAACTATGCATCGAAAACTATAATACACTAAAACTTGTTCCTACCTATTAATACCCTGTTCGTCAACCTTCCCTTAATAAATGAGTAATTTAACACCTAACGTCAAAGAAGGATAAAAATTATTTAAGCTAAAGTAATTTTCCTAAACTTATGATAGGTAGCAGCGTAGTACTCCCTAATAGCACAGATTACCTAGTATAGGGTAATATGTGCTAATAGGTAGTACAGACGCTTTCAGGTCGCATCAACAGCCGTCTGTGTGATCTAACGACAGTCGTGATATTATTGCCGGGACCACCAGCTTTAATCGTCTTCCGAAGCATGGCAGTCAGGAGATGTTCTGTACCACTGAAGACTGGCAAGTTGTGGGATTCGAACTCACCACCTGTGACGTTAGAGTCCGAGTCTTAATCCGTTATGCAAATGAAACTGCTGCGTATATGCGAAGGGATTAGGTATGTGGCATCCCTAACTAATACCTGCCTCTAAATACGACTCTATTTACGCCAACGGTACTGGTAGTTTTAATTTTGAAATCTTAAGACCATGTAATCAAAACATAACCATAAATCGAGCAAACAGCGATTTCAAACAATAAAAGTTACCTAACGTGATGCAGCATTGAGGTTAAATCGAGTCAATGTCAAAAATAAAGATGAAAAATTGTTTTTAAAAAAACATAAAATGTTGTATACAAAACACAAACAAATTATAAAGAAATACAAAGATTACTACCTGCATTCAATAACACAAAAAAGCAACAAACAACACTGCACGATGCTCCCTCGACGACAGCTCAAACCAAGATGGCCGTAACGTAAGAAGCGTTCGTGCTCTCGAAACGGCGCCACAGCTTTTCTTCTTCTTAAAAATCGCGGAGTTGCTAGCACTCAAAAATGTGTGCATCGTCGTAAATTATATACAGGATGGAACCTCTCAAGCTCCACAGCAATGAATTGAGCACTTAATTATTTTATAAAAAAATATTTGAAAAAACCCGTCTAGGCTTTACTTACCTTGTATCGTTTCGTTAATGACTCGCAATAGTCTTAAAGGGACGACCAGGGCCGAATGTCAATGTAGTTCTGAGAGCTCATGAACATTTTTTAACTTGATTTTCTCAGAAACTTGGTAATATGTTAAGTGAGTACTGAATTTAGTAAGCGTAGTCTGCAAGTGTTGGTGTGTATTTTCATCGCGGGCATAATATATAAAAATTAATATTGCTCGCGTTACTTCTGCTTGTCATTAATAGATGTCTCTGTTTTCGTTCAAGAAAATTCTTCTGTATTAACCACACACATTGACTCAACATTTCCACTAAGTCATATATTATATCTATATGCCCAAAGTCAAAAGGTCCACCGATAAGCGGGCAGTCGATCAATTGCAAAAGAAATCTGTAGGTTTCAGTTTGTTTAAAGCGACATCTCTGTACTCGTGGCTATACTAAAATGATATACTTTTTAGTTCATATAATTGACACTTCAAGTTTTCAATGAAAAAGCATACTAATGGCTTCGATCAGAAAGTGTGGATTTCAGTTCCCCTTATCATCCTGAAGACATTTAAAAAAATTTAGCTTTGTATCTATATGTGACCACTTATTTTTATTGTATCTTTTTACCGACGCCCGCGTTAAACACACTAACATCCGACGAGTAGATTACGCTTACAACACTCAGTATTAAACTATTCAGATTCACACCTTCAACGTTTTGCAAAGTCTCAGCTTGGAGAAAATTTTTTCTATTAACATCTGTGCCCAGATTCTATTGAAGATAAATCTTGATAACAAGAGAACCAATCGCAATAGTAACGGCCAGAAAGCAATAAAAGTGGTGGGGGACAAATCTGTCTTGGCGCTGCAGTGCATCTGGAATGCCTGAAAATGACCCTTCAAGATTTTGACATTTCAAAGACACATTCCCCGCTAAAGCTAGAGGGTACAATAGGCCCCAAAGGCACGATACCGATATTAAAAGTAATGCTAATTCCTCAGAGTTTAAATAATAATAATTAGAAATCTTGTTTATTTTTTACTTTGTTGTTGAATACCTACCCAATAAATCTTACAATTAAAAAATACCAGAGATAACCCGTGGTAGTTTATAGTATAGTAAAGGCAACAATCAGTGCCTACCCAATATCAATTGATTCTTTAATTTCATAGTTGACCCAAATAAGAAAAAGTTATAAAGCTGCTAGGGTTCCTCCATCAACAGGTAGGCATGTTCCCGTAATCATACTGGCTTTGTCGCTCAATAAAAACAAAACAGCATCGACTACATCACTTACTTCTGCAAACCTAAAATAAGATACTATTAGTAAAGCACAAACGCATAGCCAATTAAACTGCATTCGTGAGAGTAGGTAAAATTGTACCTGTTTAATGGAATTTTTGCTTTCATTGGAACTGCTTTGGCAGGATCCGACCAAGCCTTCTGACCTAACTCTGTTAACACAACGGTAGGATTAACGCAATTTACGCGAATATTATGCGGGCCAAGTTCCAAAGCGCATACTTTAACGAACGCATCGAGAGCGGCTTTAGTACTGCAATAAATCGCGTGATCTTGGATCCCCCTAAACGACGCTTGCGATGAGACTACGACAACCGAACCGCCCACTTTCCGCCTCAGCAGACTTTCTGTAACGATCTGAGTTAAATTTACGACACTCTTATAGTTAACTGCGAACAATCTAAAAATTACATTGAGAATAGCGAGTGTTATTCCCTTCGGTCACTTACTGATCGATGTGACTTTCGGTAACATTAATCATCGGCTCTAAAATGTTAAACCCGGCATTATTCACTAGCAAATCTACATCACCGATATTCCCTAAAGTCTTTCGTGTCAACTCCCAATCGGCTAAATCTACCGAAATTACTTTAATCGATTTCCCTTCCCTAGCCAGAGAATCTACAAGATGTAACGCAAACGAAATTATTTAAAAACAAATGTAACTAACCTAAATCGTCTTTATTTCTGCCGAGTGCAATTACTTCGGCTCCGCATTTTGAAAGTTGAATTGCAATGGCTCGACCGATTCCTAAAGCACACAATTTTATTGTGCCAGGGCTCTTGCAACACTTTACCTTTACTTGCACCTGAAACTAGCGCCCTTTTTCCTGTGAACGATATTTCCATCGTTTACTTTTCAGCTATTAAGCAATCACGTTAAATTAGCAACAAAATAGAAAGAAAAAAAAAAAATATTTTGAATGAAACTTTTGAGGTTAAGTTCAAACTTCAAACGTTCACTTCACAAACAAACATAGCATTCTGTGGTATTGTATAGGGTGGTACAATATTTCAGAATTCAAGTGTCCAGTTGGTTTGATAATTTGTGATAAAAAGACCAGGGCATCGATTCCCGAAGTTAGTCGATATGATCCGTGGACCGTGATGTGCATGTGATATGACCGGCTGCCATGACGTCATGATCGTATACGATAGGGATAAGTTCAAGTTTAGCTGCATTCCCGAATCGTGGACGAACTTTATGCGTTAACCAATCACAGACAAGAATTGAACTGTCATTTGTCAGTTTTGTATTTTGTTTTGTTTTTGCATTACGGATACTGTTATTAATAACCAGAAAATCCTCTAACAATTCCATGTTTTATTTCACAGAAAATATGTGAATGTATAGGTTAGGGCACTGAATAACCTCTATAGCAAAACAGCTGCAAGATCCGTCCTGTAGCTGCAACTGCGCATGACTTTCACGCAACGAGTGGTCTAAACCAGTCGTTGCGTTCGATCAACTTTTCGCTCGATGTGGTAGGTTCGAGAATGCAGTGACATTCACGTTCACATCAAGGTCAGTCGATGTGAACAAAGCACATCTTCGGGAATCGACGCCCAGTTGGTAGTTTAAATGCCCATGAAAGATAATTAATGATAACTCAGAACTATGAAAAATGACGTATATATTTCCTATTAGTTGTTGTGTAATTGCTCAGTATTGCTTTTGATAGGATATTACAAGTCCCCTTTCTTCCATAATCCAAGATACCAACCACCAATAGTAATATGTGCTGCCACCAGAGGTTTCACTGTTAATCTGAATCGTGAATAGCACGTTATAGATCATCCCAGAAGGGCGGTGCACAAGGCCCCCAAGAAAAAATTAAACATTGCTAGATTCATGCCACGCAAGAATACGAAGAATATTGTAAGAATCGGAACAATAATGAAGAATCTACACAATTTTAAAATACAAGAATTCAGGGAACCTGAATGATCTGATGCATACCAAGTATCAGAGGAACCCACGGAAAAAAATTAAAAGGATTCGACGAACTGGAAGCATAGTGTCGCCAACACTTCAAATAGAAGAATGACACGATGATACGATTCAAGACGGGAATTACAAATAATAGACCATAGCAAAAATAATAAACGATTCAATTTTGCCTTTGAGAGTACCCCCTTTCGACACTACATCATTGATGTACTCATATTAAAAGTATATGGACACCCACCGACACTGTGACTTGGACCATTGATTTCCCTTTTAGAGTACCCTTCTCCGACACTACGTTTTCTAGATATTCGGATTAAAGTTTTGACACCCGCTCTATGAGACCTTTCGCCTTCACCCCGTTTTGGAGGTATCAAATTTGAACTTTCCTTTTGTTCACACCTTCCATTTTCTCTTACAGAGTACCCTTTTCCGACACTTTTCTTCGAGATATTGAAGTGTGGACTCCGCCGATAGAATGTCTTTTTTGTATTTTATTTTCCCTTTGAGAGTATCGTCCAACACCTCCTTTTTAAAATATTCATATTAGAAGAAGTTTTAATTTCACCGTCCAACTCTTCTACTTCCGCTTCGAGTGAACCTCTTCTGATACTTCGATTCAGAGATAAGAACATTTTGACCCCATCGACGGATATGCAGTGGCTTAAACTATCGCTACTTAATAAACTTTAATTTTACATTGGTGCGTAGCTTTCCTACGTGTTCCCATTGAAATTTGCGATTAGGTAACAATATGGATCGTCTAATTTTTTTGGCGAATAGGACATCTTTTGTATATAATAAAAGAAATAAACTCGGAACACCAGTGTAGTCACACAAAGCTCTCACTCAACAATGGCTGGATTCCCTACATTGTGACGGACCAAGTCGCGTACCCAAGCTTACCATCGGAGAGGTGGAACGCAAGTAACACACTTATTGAAGTTGAAAAGCAAACAAAGTTTATTGCAAAGAACCGAACCGAATCATTGTTCACATAGGGTAAATATGGCCGTGGCAGCTTTTTGATTTGAGGTTTTATAAGGATTAAACATTCAAGAAGGTACACTTTCTACATAGACATATGAGAATAAGACTTTCTATACTTAGTGCATGATAGTAGCAATAATCGAATTTAGTTGAAAATGGGTTACAAACACCTATTGAGCTACTTCTAAATTGTTTATTTGTGGTGAAAAATGGCATGCATGTTTAATAAAACAATGAAACATAACAATTACAATATTTATTATTATTTACTTCCTTCAACGACCGATTTTAATTCTTTAAGAGCATCAATAAACTCTGTAGCAAGTGGATTTTCAGCAGCCATGATGTTCTCATACATACAAAGTGTTCGTTCCTTTAGCATATTTAAATTTCTATGTTTTTCAAGTAAATCTCTTTCCCCCTCTGCAACTTTCCGCTCGATTTGCTCTTTGAATTCACATAATTTTTTCTGTTTATCCTTTTCTTTACTAATTTCAGAATTAATCTTATCTATTTTACAATGTAATGCTTGGATAGCTACATTAAGTTCTTCCAAATTTGTGCGAGTGGCAACATTTTTTTCTTTCAGTTTCGTGTTAATCTGAAGGATAGAGGCCCGGTTTGTTTCAATTGTCTTGCGGATCTTATCGTACTTTGCTTGCTGCAGCTTAATTTTGTTTTCGTAGTGCGTTACATCCTCCTGTAAAGATTTAATTAATGCGGAACCTTCCTCTAACATCTCGATTTTCTCTTGAACTGCAGTCAGTTGATCTATTTCCGGCTTTTTGTGATCTATTCTTTCCGCTGCACCGCTCACTTCTTCCTCGAGAGTTGACTGCTTCACGCGTAAGTTTTCTAACAAATCCTGTAAGCTTTTGTATGTTTCTACGTTAGTGATTTGTTCGTTACAAATGGCAATGTTTGCCTTTAAATTCTTCGCTAATGTTTCCTTATTCTGATAAGTGTCGACTACTGTCTTCAATTCCTGCTGCAATTGCTTGCAGTGCCTATCGTTATCCTCCTGTTGTCCCTGTAGATTTTTATACCTTGCCTCCACATCCTTGAATTTTCTCTGCAATTTTTCTTCTTCGTCCAACAATTTTGCATGCGCTTCGGCATTCTCTGCTAAATTTGTTTGCAGCTGTACAACCCTTTTTTGGGTCTCAGAAGTTTTAGTTGATAACTCCCTTTGCCTTTGTATAACCGACTTAATATCGTTAACATTACTATAAAAAACAATCAATATGTTCATCAATATTCGCATTTTGGTTTCAGTTCGTTTTGCGGTAGGTGCATACAGATCGGTCAGCGTTAACGAACAATCAACACCCGAGTGGTTCTTCAGGAATCTGTTAATAAAACCTAAAAGGTTACACATTGAATCGGTTTCTACTGATGTTGCAGGTACAGTTACATCCTCTCCGGTCGCTTGAGTAAAGAGAGTGCAAATAATTTGCCGAACACGTTGATAACATTCGATGACATGTTCCGAAGATGGATTCTGTAACTTTTCATTGTCGTTTTCGAAATCGGGCCAATATTGGTTAATAAATTGGAGCCACAATTCATCCGCAGATTCCATCTAAAGATATGAATTAATTCCAAGGTAGGTCTATTTGGTTGCTACCTTTTAAAACTAAATTAGCACAAGAATAAGAAACTTTACTTTTTTAAACTTCAGGATTCAGTTACAACTGTGGCTAACGAACCGACCCTACAACTAAACGTTTCCTGCTTGTTTTTTTTTCGTTTTGTGGCGCATCTACCAAGACAAATAGCGATTCCTTTCGGCTACTTCGCGATCTAGTTGGATCACTTTTTACGAAAGAACGCGCGAATTTAAATCAAAGTATGGTTAAGTTTACGGAGTACACATTTGCATTCGAATTACGTACCTATTTTTTGTTTGGATTGTGAAAATAATTTAAATACATGTGCAAGTTATCTTGCACGATTATGGTCCTCTTCAGTTACAAATATTGACTAACCTAACATTTGAGCAAAAATATCCTTGCATTTATAGCAAGGAATTGGTAATTACAAAACTTTTATGTTCAGTTTGTCTACGATTTTAGCAATCATGATCATAAGATCACACTTCGAAAGAAAGCACCTATTAGGAATTAGGATAATATTAATAAAATGACATCCGATCAACAATAGTTATTTGTTTCATTAGTACAAAAAATGTCAGTTTTCGTTATATGGGGAGGTTCTTGAGCAAGAGAGGTAACTGTGGAAAACGCTAAACAGTAAACACGCATCTTACATTACATCGACAATGTATAAAAATTATCAATCCGAGGCAATATCCCTTGAATTTGAATAATTTAAATCTAATGTTACTTTAATGCATTTGACAAGCCTCAGAATGGTCAGCTCATGGTACAACAAGACATATTGGCCAATAGGTCAGCTCAAATAGATCTCAAAGCAACTCCTGCACTCCTTTCCCATTTGTGAAAAATAACATTCCGAAGTCTCTTACATAAAGTAGGTACAATACACAGTGGCGGATTTAAATTTTTTGCGCCTCTAGGCACACCGAAAGATAAGCGCCCCGTCAAAAATAATCTTTAAATTGCAATAAATTTTAAGATGCTAATAAAAATCACATTACAGTACAACCTCGTTAATCCGAATAGATTCGCACCACCGACCTTTCAGACAAGCATTAAGAAATAAAAAGGTATAGGTACCTAAGGTTCTTACAGTTACAGTTTGTTTAAACTATCTACCAATTCCAATTTATTCCATAATTTTAATAAAAAATGTCCTGTTGTAACTTGTTAGGGGACTAAAACTTAAAATATTACCTAAAATAAATATAGTGCGAAAAAATGCCGCCCTCTAAAACTGCCGCCCCTAGGCACGTGCCTAGTGTTCCTACATGTAAATCCGCCACTGACAATACATTGTTAATTGGCCAGAACTTCTGCAGTTCAGAAGGTATCTAAGGTCCTGGATACGGTAAACTTAGACTAAAGGCCAATCTCAAAAAAATCAAAATAGCAATACAATTAAATGACAAATTCAATTGACAACAAAGCGAAGAATTGTAGTACGAACTAAGAGATTAAGGTAGGTACACGAAAATTGAATT